AGGAGGATAATTGTACCAATCACCTCTCGAATGTCTTCTTCCAGCTGGTTTTGTCTTTCTTCATTATAGCCATCAAGAAGTCGGTCAAATACTGGAAGATATGTTCCATCTAACTTAGACTCTCGGTTTTGATATTTGAGAATCTCAGTAAGACACTGCACAGGGTCCAGGTTATGATCCTCGAAAAGCCGGCAGATAGTGGCAGCAAAGATAAATAGAGGAACCGAAATTGTAACCAGCGCCTGAAAATTGGCATTTCCAGGCCAGTCCAGAGGGAGTGGCCGCTCCTTCCGTATCAAAATAAGCTTTTGTTCCAGAAACAAGGATATGTCATGTTTTATTATAGGCTCAGGAATCTCGTGGAGAATCAAATCCTGATGACAACTTCCAACATCCTTGAAGCCTAACCGTATTGGTAGTTCGGGCCGACTTGTAACAAAGACTCGCATGTGTACTGACTTTGACTGCAGTACTCGCGGCAATAGTTGAAGGATAACCCGTATGTCATTGTCAGTTTCGCATTCGTCCAGCGCATCAATCACAATGACCATGATTTGGGTCTGCAAATTCAATTTTTCCAAGCCGAGCAGCGGCTGGAGGACCAACTTGTCAAACTGCTCCTTGAGTGGTTTGGCTGAAATTCCGGGATTATCCCTGATTACCTGTATGATAGCAGGGCGTAATTTCGGAATTCCAGTAAATAGCTGCTTGGTAATGGTTGGGAAGAACCGAGTTGCATTACCACGATCTCCTTCACCCCTCTTGAAGAAGAAGCTTGCTCCCAACAACCCTTTTGCTTTGAAGATTTTTGCCATGGTTCGTGATATTGTGGACTTGCCAGTTCCGGCCAAACCATTTAGCCAGAAAATGCATTTTCCTTCCGGCAAGACGGCCCATTCTTCAATACTAAGAAGAAGCTCCGTTCTGGTCCCTAGGAGACATTCCTCTTCATGTTGGTCCATATATGTTCCAAATTCAGCTCCTTCAGCGACTAGTAACTCGTTCAGATCAATACTTTGGGCCATTGCTTTGATGTTCCTAGCTGATCCACTGGTAATAGTATGAATATTATGAACATTCTTGGATACATGTTCCAGTTGGTTTTGGATCCCTGTCGGATCAACCAGAATTAGGCACCATAAGATGATCGAGAGTAGGTAGAACTAACCGTCCAAAACTTCACTAGCTTTTCGCTCAGCGTTTACCCTCTGAGGAACAATCTGATACAAGAGGTCTTTTGCATATGCAGCTGCCACCATTGCGGCATAGCCTTGCCATTCCTTGCTTTTGTGAGAGTCGGCATAGTCACAAACACCACGAATGACCAAACAAGGGAAATGGTTCATTAGTCCAGCCGCTTCCATTTCAAAGCATAAAACATCTTGCTCGATTGCTAGCTTGTCACGGAATAACGCATCTTTAATCACTCTATTCGCAGATGCGATCAAGCCATAGTGGATAGCAGGATCATCCTCACCCTCGGTTCTCTCTGGCCGGAGAATCAACTTCGAGTCATCGCAGAGCTCGGCACAGCTCGCCTGACTATCTGGGACATGAGTAAACTGGCTTTCATAAAGCCTATCGCTTTCGGAAGGAGGTTGTGCGTATTTTCGCTTCAGTCTTTTATTGCCATCAAGCACAATCTGAATGCTTTCCTTCAACAGATGGCCCTCCTCCTCATACTGCGCTTGGAGCCCAGCTACGGCCGCGCGCAGGATGGGTGGTGGCTGGTTCAAGAACCCTGTTTGATGAAACTCTTGTCCTTGCAACACCTTGCCAAAGTCATATTGTAGCAAACCGCCACGTCCACTCCGAGATGAGCTCACGACAATGTCGCCAAGACGGATGTCCTGTTTTGTTGGCGCACCCCCACCAATCCCAACCATTAGCCCAAATCGGATGTTTGGAAAGCTGCGCAACATATCCCTCGCCACCCCAGCTGCTGATGATGTCCCGTAGTCTCCATCTGGTAGAACGGCAATAACGACCTGATGACCCCCAATTTCTCCCAGCGTGTAGTGGTTATTATCATTCGGCGAAAGTGTTTCTGGTCGGGTATGCTTTCTATCAAGAAAGGCTCGGGCAGCGACATATTCCGTCTCCAACGCACATATCCAACCAACAGTATACTGCTCTGGGTTTGACATGGTGGGAGTGGAAGCAGAATGATCAACGACGAGGGATTTGTATGATAGATATGTTTATTCTTTTGTCTGAAAAGGAAAGTACACAGTCGAAGTGAAAGGGTGGAATCAGATCTCCAGCCTTCTTTTACATGAGAAGAGGGGTAATAGAAAATGAGGCTGTTGGGCACGGCGCATATCATTGGCTTGCACCCTACTCATCCATTTATTGGATCTGGTACACTGTGATAGCTCGAAGAGGGCGGCAAGAGAAACCAGGTACGTGGCCGAATCTCTGCCCTATTAGATGAAGAAGCGGCACAGTGCAGCAATCACGCTCTGCATGCGTGTGGGACGAGTGCATCTAGTAGCCAGGACTACTCGCAACAATAGACGAAGGTGCCGTGTCTTGCAGATGGGCGCCAGAATGATCTCGACAAGTCATAAATGAACAGTGGATACGTCAGTTGAAAGGCAGCTAGCTGTTTGCAACAAGTTCCATTCGCACCCGGAGTTGACATCGAATCGAGGAGATCAGGACCCGACCCACCTAGTATGGTCGGGCTGATATTCAAGTGATTGTCGTGGTCATTGTAGGAATGTCATGCTTTGGCTCCCTGGTGGATAAAGACATGATCGCTTGCATATCCCATGCTAACATGGCTCTTGATGTATTGCGTGCATCCTGGCTTTGTTTCGTCGCGCTACTCCGTAGACAGGGGTTAGATTTTGGACGTGGACGATTAGGCTCCAACCAGGTTCCAGGAAGAAAATTTGACATCCCCTTTGCGCTTTCTGCATATAATTTGCAGCCTTTCGATTTAAATATAGCACGTCACGCATTTATGGGTCTCTTGTCACGCGTGTTCCGAATATATTTGTTGCCTGAGGCAGAAACAGCTGACCCGAGCTTCTTATTTTTTCATGCAAATAATGGAAATCGGGTAGCTTAACTTTCCTGGCCTTATCTCGCGTCATTCTCGAGCAGGACGTGCACCATTGAAATATGAGGGAGCAAGTCTGATCACTGTGCAGCTGATGGATTCATTGGGAAATCGACACAATGCCTGGTTCCTGTGAGGTTTGCTCTTTAGAGCCCTCAAAATATCGCTGTCCCACATGCGCACTGATGAGGTACTGTCTGATTCCCCTATCCATACATGGACCAGTTGCTGACAGTTATCGATTTAGTTGCTCGCTTGCATGCACCCAGTCACATAAGATATACTGTGCTCCGAAAGCACGATCGAATGAGGAACCAAGTACCACCCCAGCGCCCGATGTCGATCCCACACCCGAGAACGACAACAACGGCCCCGAGCCTACAGAGCCAACTGGCATCAACCCTCCCGCGATGACCGCAGCAGCAGTGGCGGCATCGTCAGAGATGAAAGAGCTTCTCAGCCAGCACCCGGAACTCCGCAGTCAACTACAAGATATGTACCAGTCGACGTTGGAGGAAGAATGGGTGGAATCCTACACAGCGCCCGCACGAGGGCGTGGGCGTGGCCGCGGGCGAGGTCGTGGAGGGTCCGCTCCTCGTAGCCGTGGCCCATGGACGTCCGAGAAAGGCTTCAATCGAGGCCTGGGCAGAGTCCGCAAGCTGAGGCAGGATTGTGAGGAAGGGACGGAGACTGGCCAGACCGCTGAGGCTTTCATGCAGTTTATGGCGCTTGTCAAGCAGGGCAAGGATTCAGCCTGAGTCATCTATATTTTGTGGGAAAAACAACATACGAGTTGGACGGTCGGCACATATACCTTGATCGCACCATATCTACATGTTGAGTCCGTGTAAGTGAGACATGCAGATTAAATCGACGAGATGGTGGGGTGGGGCTTTTTGATCTACCTTCACTGTTCCAATAGAGTAGCTGTCAGATTTGACAGCTTCAGCCATATTGAGCCTCATGCAACTTAGGAATATCCGGCCTCAGTTTCTATATGTTTCTCCAATACATAACTACTACCGGCTCTCGAGGCTGCCGACAGCGCATTTGCCAGTCCAGGGGTAGATCAAAGCGCTGAGCACTGGCCCTCATAACGTGCAATATCGCACGACAGACAACGTTACCATGCGAGCCAAGACCAGAAGCCGAAGTACATAGTGTCGGATTAGCGGCGCTTTTAGCGCAACAAAGCGGAGCATATGCCAACGGCCCAGAACTCCAAAGACCGGAATTTCGCTTGAAACAGTACTAAAGTACTGAAAACTCGGAATCTGCATGTTTCTGACGAGTCACATGGAGAATCTCACAGCGGATGAGCTGTATAAGCTGTACTCTGCAGAAAGACAAACAGCTCCTTGTTTCCGAGAGCAGATGACACGGCAGTGAAAGCAGCTACTGCAGCTCCGTAGTCAAGCAACAAATCCCAATCTATTAAGAAATAATGCAACATTGTAGACCTATCGACTCTAAGCGAAGTCGTCTAGACCCAGCCTCGGTTCTGAGGGCCACTCATCTTAAGACTTTGGAGATTACCATGTGTCCAGTTCAGCTGAGCCGCTTTCATGAACACGAAGATCTCTCAGGCTTCCAATGAAATGCGAGAATTCTAATAACAAAAAGAAACAGGATCCCAAACCAATTTCGGATTCCCCGTTTGTGATCTGTCCATATCATCACATCAGTTTGCTTTATCAATTATCTTCCCCGTCACTGCCAAGACCAAGATATCCGACGCAGCTCCGGCTAGTTAGGGTAGTTTTCAAGTCAACTCCCCGAGCAATTCTGATTTCGGATGGCTACCTCATTGTTCTACCGAACTTGATCTGTTCCGACGATGGATGCGCTGCAGTGTTTGTTCTCTGAACTTACACAGTAATCAGAGCGCTGTCACACCGATCCATTCTGTGGAGAATTGCCGACCGCTTCCGTCATGATCTCGCAGCAACCTCGCCGAGAGAGAGCTCTCAGTGACAGAGCTCAAGCAATGCCCGCTGCAGCTTCACGACCAGCCATGGGCAGTCGAACTTCTTCAGCTCCGCCGGGGGCCCTTTATAAACTCGATGCGGCGCGGAAGCCAGGAACGGGGACGACAGCCGAGCACACATTGCTGGAAGAGGATGAGGAGTCTCCAATTACGGGCGAGGCGATTAAGCGCACAGGACTCCGTCAAAAGGAGGAGGTACGTCCAGGACTCTGAGCGGTTCGTTGCTACGGCACAGAGAGCTCCAATTGCTAACGGTTCCTGTTTTTCTCCGATAGGAAACTCCCAAGAGCGGCTTCCCCGAAGTGACCATTGCAGTGGCTGGCGAAGAAAATGCCGGCAAGACCAGCTTTGTGAAATGTGCCCTAGATATGAAGAACCCGCCTGTCTCCCCTATGAACAAGAAGAAAATGTCATTGAACGGATCGGTATACATTGTGCATCTGATGGAAGTCGACTTGACCCAGGTTCAATTCGATCAGGACAAGAGGATCATCTGGCCGCGTACAGGGCGCGACAAATATGCGCCGGTCATTGACGCGGTTCTGGTTCTGCATGATGCCACCAAGCCGGATCGACTATCTTTAACAACGAACCTCATTGGTAGGTTTTTTTGTCCGAACTATCTAGGATGTACCTGTGCTGATTTCCCCGGAATTTAGACTCGTTGGCTGCCTCGGATCTTCCTTTCTTGCAAGTTGCCTGCAAATGCGATGTCAACCCTGAACCTGTGGAAGACAGCGAAGTGGATGTGATCCATGATCGATACGAGATCTATCGAACGTCATTTTCCTGGCCTCGATCTCAACGCATGTGTATAGCGTTAGTTTTGGGGGCAGTGATTTCCACTCGAGAAGGTGAGCCAATTTTTTTCTCATTTCTGTCTTTATTTCTAGACAAAATCATTGAAGTTCAATGTTGTGCCTTGACCCCCCAAGCGGAAACGGGCCAAGGTGGGTCGCGGTAGGAGCGTTCGCTACTTTCCCCATGAACTCTTTTTGGGTTTTCCCCTAACTAACCCCTCTCTTCCATTTCTTAGATCTCTCCAATAATTCTAATATTTCTCTTGCTTCGGTCAAATCTTCACTCGATTGGCAGCATACCCGTTCCAACTCGGAAAACCCCTCAGCCGTGTCCATAGCCGCCGGCGGCCCACAAACGGCCTCAGATCAATGTGTCGATGGGGATGGTGAGAACCGTCTCCCAACCGATGGAAACCACTTGCAGCATACGTCCAATCCTCACCGTTATGCTCGCAGTAACTCGCAACCGGTGCGACCGCAAACTCCGCCATCTGGAGCGCGTTTAAATACCCGCAGACCGTCAGCACAAGAACTAAATTCTCCTAACCACGAGAACCGCCAGCAACGATTGCATACCGCCTGGCGACACAGTGGAGGATCAGACGCTTTCAACAGTTTCTTAAACATGGACGACGAGGGAGACGATGGGCAGAGCCGGCCCGCGAGCCCTGGCGCACAACTGCGCCCGAAACCGAGCAGCGAGAGCAACTCGAGTGCAGAGACGGGTCTATCGTTTGATGAACTAGTCGATCGTTTGATTTCCCTGCCGATGTCGAAACAAGACCAAAAGTTCCGTTCTACATTCCTATGCCTGTACCGAAAGTTTGCTGCTCCCGCAAGTCTCTTGACTGCGTTGATAAGCCGATTCGAGCGAAATGAGTTGGGCAACGACGACCAGCTGGCCCGCATGGCGGACCAGCTGCGATTACTCGATGTCATGGCTCAATGGGCCTCGGACTATCCTGGAGATTTTGCTCATCCCAAACTTCGCAAACGGATCATTGAATTTGTCGCTGTACTCGAAAAAAGTCATTTCTACATGTTCGCTGCCAAGGAGATCGGGTCGCAATTAGACTCGAACGCAGAAGACGATGATGTTGGCTGGGCGTACGGGGGTGACAGTGATTCCGATGAGCCACAACTGGTTGAGACATTCTTCGACAACTCCGGCCGAAGTTCTCCAGCAGCGGCTTTCACTGGCGCTAGCTCTGCCACTAACACTTACGACACCGAAGAAGAACAAGATCCCATCTACAGTATGAGTGCGCTGGATCTCAGTAGTGGGCCGCATGACTCGACCTCACGGCTTTCAGTCTCTTCGACTACCGACAAATCTAACAACATCACCAGCCAGTCATTCACATTGTTGAACCTCGATGCGGCCCAAAAAGAGGCTTTGCGTCTTGAATTAACACATAAAACTTCACTTGGAAAACTCCAGTGGCGGCTGTTCATGGACACCCCAGATGAGGAGTTCGCACGAGAACTGACGCGGGTCGACTGGATCATGTACAACTCATTCCGGCCGCGTGATCTTGTGCGTCATGTCAGCCTCTCGGGCATAGACAAGGATAAGATCAAGAGCTTGACGAACGTTAATCGGATGATCAAGCAATTCAATCATCTGGCCTTCTTCGTAGCCAGCTTGATTCTCTTGCGCGATAAGCCTAAGCATAGAGCGCAGGCGCTAGAGAAGTTCATGAACATCGCAGTGGTAGGCTTTCTCAGTCCAGCTACTATATGGTCGACAGAAACTAACACCTCTTTCCAGAAACTCCGACGCCAAAACAACTACAACTCCCTGGGTGCTGTGATCGCCGCCATCAACGGCACCCCAGTCCACCGCCTCACGCAAACTCGAGACCTGATCCCCATCCCAACCCAGAAAGAGTTTATGCGTCTGGTCATCCTCATGAGCACCCAACGAAGCCACTTTGCCTACCGCCTCGCCTGGGAGAATTCGTTCTCAGAGCGAATCCCATTCCTACCTCTCCATCGTCGGGACCTTGTCTCCGCCGAAGAAGGCAACAGGACATTCGTCGGCGAGAACAAATCTCGCATCAACTGGAAGAAATTTGAGGTCATGGGTGAGGTTGTTCTCGGCATTCAACGAAGCCAGAAGACTCCTCATCCCCAGGCTCAGAAATTCGACGATGTCGAGCGACTGATCCTGGACTCGAAGCTCTCTGGAGACGAAGAGGTAAGGTCTTTATCATCGTGAATCTTTGTTCTTCTCATTAACGTTCTCTAGGACTTGTATGCTCGTAGCTTGCACGTCGAACCGTCCACGGGAGCCGAGGGACGAAGGAAGTTCGGCTGGTTGCGCTCTTAAACCCAGTCGCCTCTTCGGCCACACCTTTGGCATCCTGGGTCACTCATCTCCGTGAGGCTCAACACGAATTGAGGCCCTCAACCATCCATCTCATCTAACGCCTTCGCCTCTGCCTTCCTACCTACCCTCCATGCCTCATCTTCCCTTTCCTCCTCTACTCTTCCTTTCTCATGTCGCCACGCCCCTATATGATTGATAAATACTGTTGTTGTCGTTTGTCTGCTTTTCGTTATGAACTCGGTCCCGGCGGGGGTCGATATGACGGTTGTAACGGTGATACATCTTGAGAAAAAAAACGTTCCGCTACGACATTTTGTACATATGCGTGCTGAGGTGTGGGTAGTGATGGTCATTGACTGTCTTGCAGATAGCAGTTTCCTACCCCGGTATATATTGACATGTCTATGTATTTACTCCCTTGTATCCCCCACCAAATAGAACCGTAGCCCTATAACAATATTGACCAAGTATCAGATTTCCAAGCTAGCGTTGAAACTAGTACCACTAAATAGCGGACGTCGCATACATTTCCAATCACGTGAATTGGTTCCACCCGGCTATCTCAACCTCCGACCAGCTTCAAGACCCAAGACAAACTCACCTCCAATCCCCCGGTGCACCAGGGTCTCGAAACAGCCTCAACCAGGCCTCATCAACCAGACCACAACCCCCCGAATCCAACCACTCAAAATGTCCACAACAATCCAAGCGCGCACAACCTACCGCGCCCTCCTCCGCGAACTCCCACGCCGCCACCTCTCAAATCCCTCCCCACTCCACCAACACCTGCGCGCAATCTTCCGCTCAACGCCGTCGATATCTTCACTGCAATCTGAATCGAAATCCAATGCCCTCCCCTTCTCAATCCCAAAAACAGACGAGGAACGCACCCTCCGCGTCCAGGAAGCAGATCAGCTCGCTCAATATGCCCGCGCCCAGCGTGTCTACTGTGAGCTCCTAGAGCGCTATAACCCGGGTATGAGTATGGACGAGGAGGAGAAGATTCGTCTTACGGCCAGACGGGTTGGGTTTGATTTGCCCGAGTTGCACGTTCCTGAGGCGAAGGAGTAGAATTGAGTTCGAGGGATTGCGATATTGCTGCGGTTTAGCTGAGCTGAGCAGGATGGTTGGCTTTGCTTGGCTCGTCTTGTCAATGGACTGTCGACTGCGGATATAGTTGGACAATCTGCGTTTTGATTTTACGACCAAGGCGGATTGTGGTAGGCTTGGTTGGAAGTTGTCTGTTGTCTGTATAGATAGTGTGGTTTTGCTGGGATGCATGTATTCCATGGAATGGCGTTTTATTGACTTTTGGATCTGTATACTACGGTTTATGTACAAAATAAAATAGAGAGCATTGCCAAGTAGCATGAACTCGTTCTTTTCTGAAACCTTCTCTGCTATCTATTAACTCTGGATGAAGAGGCATTTGGATTGATGTTCCAGTCGTAACTTGGGTATCTGATATTGAGATCCTCCTGATCTCAACACTTGTCAGTGCAAACCATGTGGTTTGCCGCACAGTGTTTTGGGGGCACCGAGAATGGACACCTGATGTTGACACTGGGTGTATTTGTGTTGCAAAGGCGACGGCCTAGCAAAGGGGTCATGGTGGAAATGCGCCAGAACCCAGAGGACGCTGGCGTGAAGTTTGGGCGTTTAAATAGACGTGCTTCCCTGATTGACTCTTCAGGTAGCACTGAGCTGGGCGCGCTCCATCTGTCTCATCAGAGTCGAACTGCTTTCTTCATCTTCCATGCCAACTCCAACTTCGATCGCAGTCTTGGGTCGATTCCGGTTGAGCCCGTCTAGCAGTGTGCACGCTTTACAAATCCGCTGACTGGAAATGTAGTTACAACGCTCGCAGTGTTTGATAGTCTGCGTCTTGACCGCCTTACCCGTCGGCCCGCGATTCGCCTTCACGCGTGCACCGTTAGGAAGCTTAATTTCGGTCTCGAGAGCCTCGGCTGCGTCGTTCTCAGTGAGCTGCTTCTCCATTGCAGCCATCTCCCCTCCACTGGTTCGGCCATTTTGACTACCACAGCCACCAGCCGATTCCTCCTCCGCAGCCGACTGCTTGGATCTGCCGGTACCACGGACTTCCACCGGCACAAGGGCCGCCATGTCCTCGCCACTCTTGACAATATCGAGGATCGAACTAGGACGAATCTTCTCAAGATCTTTGATCAGTGTGCGAGCGCTGCCGCGGAATGCCTCCGGCGAATAGATACATTCAGTAGTGAAGTAGTCGAGCTGACGGTGGTGGGCGTAGAGGACGATCTCCTTTTCGTAAGCGTACTTGAGAGGCTTGCTGCGCTTGATGTCCGAAGCGTCGGAGCTGGTGACGATACTAGTACCACGGGACAGACGGGGCAGATCACCACGCAGGAGATTCATCATGACAGTCTCAGCAACATCGTCCGCATTGTGGCCCGTGACAACGTGCTTGATGCCCAAGCGGGCAGCGCCTCGGTCGAGCGCCTGCCGCCGGAACACCCCGCAGTACGTGCAGTTACCCTTCTTGCCCACTTGTTCCACGACCTGATCCATCGTCCAGCCATAGAGCTCGCTGTATCCCAGGATATCGAGTGGCATCTCGTATTGCACGGCGTTGCGCTTCACGGTCTCCAGACTGTCATCGCGATAACCGCGGATGCCCTCGTCGATCGACAGTAGGCATAGATCCAGTCCGTAGTTGTATCGCTCGTTGAGAGTTTTCAGTACAGCTGCTAGTACTGTGCTGTCTTTGCCGCCGCTGGCTCCGATCGCGACTCGCTCGCCGGGGAAGAAGAGGTTCGTGCCGATGATGGTTTCATGTACTTCGGTCTCGAAAATCTTGATGAAACACGCACGGCAGAGTTTGTGCCTATTCTTAGGTCGAATGATGACAGCTCGCGCCTCCTTGCAGTTGAAACACGCCGTCGGTGCCATGATGAGTTGTTAGGTCTGTGACTTGGTGGCGGAGAAGAATTTCTTTTTCCCCCGCGGTCGATCGGATGGTCCGTGCGCCCAAGGTTAGATCTATACCAACAGCCGTGCAGGTTATACTAGGTCTTTGGCCTTGTAGAAGGTATTGAATCAAGTAAAGATATCTTGTCTGTATGTTAAGTGACCTAATCACTTACCATATTCAGGTCACTTACCATATTTTCATCCAAATTCATGTAAGATGACTGCAACCCCCATTTGATCCTAATAGTTAACCACCTCTCCTGGAGACAGGATGTTAAGATTCATGAACTCTTCTTCCACCTCATCTTATGAGGACCATTCATTCGCAGGAGTCAAGTTTTGTTGATTTTCAAGTCAGTTATTACGCTAATTATGCCAACGGGTCTCATTGTTTAAAGTACACAGACGCTCACAATAGTGCGAACGTATGTAATAGCCAAGGCAGAAGCAAAAAGCCAGTCAGGCAGGGATGATATAAGTGCGGGCGCAACTATCACAACGATTTGGTGCGCAGTTCGAGGGTGAAGTGAAAGGTGGGCGTGTTGACTGGGAGGTTGTATGCGATTGATTCCCCTGCTAGTCATGGTCAAGTATTCCGCAAAATGGCAGTGAAACCAACCACTATCCCAATGCGAGTGGGCACTATTGCTTTCCTTGTTCAGCAGCGTTGTTGCAAGCGAGTACTTCTCCGCACACCGCTCTGCCCACTGCTTTCACTTTTAGGTTCCAAGTTTGAGGTCCCCGGCGAACACACTGCTGTTCCAGATGACGTTCCCATTTTCCTTTTTGCTTTTCTGCCCAGTTGCTGTGGTTTGGCAGGATGGGTCTCGATGCGGTTTGACGGCAGAGGGGGAGTGAACCGTTATTGTTCTGTCATAATCTATAAAGCTTGTTCTACGGTGATGGTAGAATTTCTAAGGAAAGCCACCTTGAGATTCCCTAAAAGTGCTGTACAGCGCAATTACTACGTTCATGGTCAAGGCTTCCAATTCTCATCTAGGTGCGCCGCAGGCTTTCCCTTCCGACGAAGCAGCCTAGCGGAGCACAAAGGCCACTTTTTCCCCTTAGCCACCTCAGCAGCCTAAAGACGAATATGATATCGTCGCAAATGCAGAGAGTAAGGCTTGGACCGATCAGCAAAGAACCGAAGATTCTCCTTCTCCCCAGCCCCTAGCTTCTCTACAGCCTTAACAGTCCGTCTGCGAGAACGCAAACGAAGTAGCGCCAGTCCAAGCTCCTCCACTCGTTCCCATCGCTCGCAGTAAAGACAGCCTCATATTCCGGAGCCGTGGAATAGACGAGGGAGAATTTAGTCTAGTCCGAAGGGTCAGGCGGAGGCACAACACGGTGCAGATATGAACGGAGAGCGCCTTCTTCCATACCAACTCCTTTTCTTTTTCAAAGACTTGGGGCTCTATCAGATTGATACATAGCGTTAATTCCTTAGAACATACTTCTTTTTTCTTGGGAATGATTGGCTTAACCAAACTTTACTCTATGGGGCAAAAAGGAGTTGGCAGCTGTGGGGTTCGAACCCACGCCCACTTTCGTAGACCGGAATTCAGTAATTCGGAATTCTCTTAAACCCGGCGCCTGTGGATTTGTTAGTCTGATCCAGTAACAATAAATTAAGACAATCCCATACCTTAGACCACTCGGCCAAACTGCCATATAAACCAGTGATCGTCATGATAGAAAGATATTGAAACAAGATTTCATTCTAACTAGGTAGTACTACGGTATGTAGTACGTTCCGCTGTAATTATTTCCGTGGCCCTCGTGGAGGCCGAGGGATGGCGATGCTCGTAGTAGCTGTGACCGTAGAACAGTGCTTTCTATAGGAGAGATGAGATCATGAGAAAGGGTACGACTTGTATTGTATAGGTGGTTGAGAAACGAACAAAGGGTAGACTAGACCTAGGAAGGAGATAATGCGATATAGAGAGATTTTAACACCCCCACGATCAACGGCATATAGATCGGTAAAAAAGAAAATAGCACCCTGCAGAACCCTTTCTTCTAGATGAAAAGCGGAAGGCTTTTCTATGCAAATTAATATGCAATTTTTGTATATATCAAAATGCAGATCGATTAGATGAGTTGAATTAATATTAGGCGAAAGGGCCTAGCTGATCGACAAGACGTCGGAACATGATTGAACCAAGTGGTTTGGTTTGTCGAGGAAGTTGACGAGGTCAATATCGACGTGGATTCGTCGAGAAAGTTGAACGATGTCAATAGGTTAAACCAGCTAACATCCTGTATAGCCAGCGCCGCTCGGGGTACTGTTTTGATCGATTTTGGCCTCAGCTTCATGGCTGGCCACCCTGCGGCAAATGGCGCTCACCATGGTATCTGCTGCTCAAGTTTATGCACAACTGGCGCTCACGCGCCCTAGGATCTGATATGTGGGCCTTGGGTGTTGTTCTACCGTGGCTGTTAGGCGGTATTCCCTTACCTGAAAAGACACGGGCTGGTTGACTGCGGACGTATGTCTGTTATCGCCCGGTATAAATTCCTATATAAAATCAACCGAAACGATGAGCCACTGGCTCAATCAGCTTCAGGTCGCTCGGTCGAGCTAAATGAAGGAAAGGGTCCACTCATATACATTGTTAAAGATTTGCTGGCCCCGAAAATGAAAGAGCGGATTCATGCCGAAACATGAAGGAAAGTTCACAGAAGACGGGAAACGAAGACACGTTTGTTAGCCTATGAGCATATATGAATTTGGGCTGCGTGTTGTATTTGTTTATTTTCGAGATTTAATTTATACATATGTAGTTCTTAGACAGGGGCTACTTGCCTCGCGCACGATTTGGATCGCCATTTATACATGATGCAAAGTCGAAGGACCGGCTTATTTCAATTTGTACTGTTTGAACCTTTTCTACTAAAAGCCCAAAGCACTACGCAGTTAGTGCTGTTCGAGAACTCGCCACACTCATGCCTTCACATTCTCATCCGGGCACGCCACAGCCTTTCCCTTCTGACAAAGCAGCCTGGCAGAGCACACAGGCCACTTTTCCTTCTTAGCCACCTCGACAGCCTGAAGACGAATATGATGTCGTCGCAAATGCAGAGAGTAAGGCTTGGACCGATCAGCAAACAACCGAAGATTCTCCTTCTCCCCAGCCCCTAGCTTCTCGACAACCTTAACAGTCCGTCCCTGCGAGAACGCAAACGAAGTACCAATAATCTTGAACCGCCGAGCCATTTGGTGGAGATTGGGAGAATGCCAGTCGTCAGAGACCCAAGAGGGTTTCGCATTCCAGGGCAGCCGTCTCTCCTTCTTGAACACACGCCACCATTCCTCGGTCGATAACCGGCCCTGCTCCCCACTAACTGCATGGACGCATCCACTCGTCCTCAGCGCCACATGGACCAGTGTCCGATCCACTACCACATCAACTGGGACTTCGTCGATCGTGGATTCTTGATTTGGATTTTCACATCGCGTTGAGAGCCTGATTCGTCGACCTGGGTGTAACATGTACTCTGCTGCACAGACCGTCGAAGGGGCTCCGTGCGAAGTCGCGAAACCGGGGTATGGGAACTTATCGGCTGGCCCGAGCACAGACGGTCTGATGATTAGGACTTTGTCCATTTTGTTACGCTCGGCTGCCTTCTGCTGGACTAGTCTCTCGGCCAGGTGTTTGGCGTATGCGTATGGCCATGGGAAATCGTGAGCGTCGTATTCGTCGGATGAGCCGGTTTTCTGTACTGCGCTCCATGCTCCAAGTGCAACCTTGTAATAATCTTCCTCCTCCCTGCCGAGGGGATATATTCTCTCATCAACTGATATGTCGGTCGATTCGTGGGATTTCCATAGATGGGCGTTGGCATATGCAGTGGAGAGAAATACGAACCGTTCGAGGTTGGGGAATTTTAGGGCGTATTGTGTGAGAAATATGCTTGGTGCCAGCACAGTATATGCTAGTTCTCGCAGAGAACTGTATAGTTGGGCTGATGATGCGGTGTGGATCACAATGTGTACTGTCTGTTTCAGCATCTGGAGTGTCTCTTCTGATAAACTCATTCTCGCGGTATTTCCCAATTCGCCGTCAAGGATGGTCATCCGCTCGTTCTCGGTAAGGATTTGTGCGGCAGAGGGAGGAAGCATGTCGGTCCATTTTGCTTTTGCTTTACTGGTCATTCAAGTCAGCAAGTGTCGTTTTGACTTGAATGTATTTTGGTCACTTACTCGGAGCCACCCCGACATAGCACATATACTCGTTTCGGGGACGACTGACTCAAAAGTCGACACAGAAGCGCAGTTCCAATGAAGCCTGTACCGCCGGTAATGAATAGCGTCTTGCCATTATAATAATCCCATATCATGATGAAGCCATGCGAGAATCGCCAATGCCCGCCTTCATGGGTAAAACGGAAGCATGTAAGATCAAAAGGTGGATGCAATGCTATAAAGTCGTATGAAGGGGCTTCAGGTGGGTCTACGGGCTGAACACACCGCAGGTTAAAATAGTTGTCTATTGCATCTTATGGCGAGACGCTCGATGATGGCGATGAACTCCGGTTTCGGGCGCATGCAGATCTGCAGCTAAGATGAGGCGGGTGCAGCTGTGTGACCCATCATATGAGGATAGAGCTCGGAGACCAGCCATTCGGATTATTTCAGAATAGTGAAGCTACAGATAACCTCAGAGAGTAAATGATCGTGAGGTATCTTCAATCTGGAATAATAGCGGGAAATTGGGGTACAAGTCAGTACCTAATAAGATACAATGTCTAATGCAATGTGTTTAGTGTGTCGATCTATCTCAAATATCGAAATATCTATCTAACCAGCCTCGCTTAAGATGAGACTCATAAGAAAAGTGTGAGATTTAAGTTTGCCTGTAAATAAATGCCTACCGCTTCATGCAGCCTCTAACCAGCCATATATCTATACATTGAGGATGCATTAGACCACTCTGTATCTTTGATTCTACTCGTCAGGTTCTAGGGTCGGTCGCTACCATATCTGCTTCCCATATACAACATATGTTTATCTCCTCGGGCCGAGCCCTAGTGGATCATCAACCACGTCAATGCAACAGTGATATCCCGTTTATAACCCCACTTTACAGCAAATGTATTGCTCTCCGTTAATACTAAGTGAAGCATAAGCTTTGTAAGATGCTATCCAATCCGAGATTAGGTCCTTTCAGGCAATTATAGACCAGAATCACAATGTGATAATGTGACGAACAGCAAGGGGAGGCGAACATAGGGTAGGGAGAGCCGCCTTAGGCGGAAGCGTATATTCAGTGCCATCTCTATTGACCTCGATACGTGGTCAGATATTGATATTGAAACAAGCTGGCGTTTGTGCCTTGCAGTCAAATACAGCAGTTGATATTTCTGCAGATATGAACGAGTATCATGCGATTGGTGCAGAACTACCAGTGCATTCCCAATTCCCTTTGACAACTCTGCTACTGGTTTTGGGCAATTGTGAGCGACAGGTCTATGTGGGGCCAAATTATCAGACAACATTCCACAGACTGTGTCTGCCATGGTGCAGAATTCCTAATGGTGTATGTCAACAAGCTCATTCGAGGAGATCCACAAGGCGCGCATTCCATAAGGCAATTATGTGGAGAGGGACGTCAAAGTTGGGATAAACATACTTACAGATATCAACATGTTATTGTTGATAGCCTTATCCTGTGCCTTTTATGATTAATATAACCTCCAGGTGTCGATTTCATGAAGCACAGTTTCGCATCTCGTCTTACATTACTATTCCCGGAATCCATTCTAATTATCCGTCACTCCAGTCAACATGAAACTAGGTCCACTCGATATGGGCTATGCCCGACCTCTCGAATTCACTCTCTCAGTTGTTGTGAGGACTAAGCCTAGCCCGCTCGACTTTCAATTCGCCGCCGATACCCTCGTCTCACAATGGCCTGTACTGAACTTGCGAATGGACCCACTGGTAGGCACTCAGAGATATCAACTGTGCAAATACTAATATCGAAACAGAAAACAAAATTCTTGGATCCAAAAGACCCCAGTGACCTGGCCGAGGTATGGGAGGGGAAAGCCCTTGCACAAGAACTCAGCGAGATTCTCCAAGTTTGCCCCGAGCCGGACTCCCCGCAACTGATCGACTCTGCGACACTCGATAAGGCGTTGGATTTTGGGTATGGAATTTTGCATGCATGGAAGCAGCGAGTCTTCTCCGTACGAACGGTATTGTTGACCGATGCTTGCATAATTGGGTTCAGGTTTTTGCAGCCCCTCTGCGATGCGAAGGGTAATTGATATTCTCAGAAAGCAACGAAGCAGTAGGGCTGACGATGTCATTATAGGTGCCCATCAAATAGTCCAGGCTTATTGCACCCTCCTCAGGGGAGAGAGTATTACCCACACTCTCCATTCCCGACCACCCTTGTCACTAAAATCAGAAGTACTCGAAAAATGTGCTGAGAAGATTGAGTCTCATCAGATTGCAGATCTGCACGAACATTCAATGCAGCGCACTTGGGTAGCCGGAATCGGGGCACTCGCGAAGCAGATCGGGCGGAATATATGCTATCCTTCTGCGAGACGAATCGGCAAGACCATGTTGATCCCCCGAAGACAAATCCAGAGCTGGTTAGAAGAAGCGGAATGCGACAAGGCCAAGGTAACTGAGCATGATCTGGTGACAGCCTTTATCTGCAAGGTCAGTTATGCCAGCTTCAAGTCGATTTACCCAAAATTGAACAATCTTACTGAGACCATACCCTGAACAGGCTTCTTTACATCCACCAACTGCCCACAGCTTCGGCCTAGCCATCGATATCTCAAAACAAGTCCAGTCCAAGACGACCCTCTACAACCCCTGGTACATGATGCCCCTGCCAGATCCAATACCAACAAGCGAATATAGCTCTCCTTCATTGGTTCGACTCGCAACACACATCCGGCGTGCGGTTCACGCGGGTCAGCAACCAGAATGCATCGGAGAGATTGTCGATCAGCACAAGAGCCTGAAGAATAACCCCATGGTTCCAAAATCATACGGCAGCCGAGCGGCCCAACCGCGCATCGCTTCTTGGAAAAGCCTGCCGCTTTATAAGCTCGATATCCAAGGCGAAAACCCGCTCTTCGTACAGGGCAGTGTTGACTACTGTGGACTTCTGCGTGAGACTAAAACTCACTTGGATGATTTGTTGGTGACGTGGAAAGCGCAGGGTTGGGGCGGGGAGGATGGTGGTTATTGGGTTCATGGGAGGCTGCCTGAAGCTGTTTGGAGGCGCATGATGGATGATTTGAACTGCTGAGGTTGGTTTCTCTTTTTTTACTCTACACGACTGGAGCGTGTCTTTTATTGTATTGTAAAGTATATCTTTAATTACTTGATATTCCATGTTTTCAACAGGCTAACATTCAATATTCCTGCAAAAGAAGGATGAGATGGCCGATCTAAGAGACTGGCGTCTTTTACCCAGGGATTTGCCAGCTCGAATTTAAACATGCGCAAACCTTGCAGAATTATGATTGAATATCAGTTTTGTATCCGCCTAGGAATGGAGATCACGAAAGTGGTAACGTTGATCCCCGCACAATATTGCGCTTGCCCGTAATAGTCAAGTTCACGCGACCGTTATCTCGGCTTCTCTTCTCGGGAGATCTTCGCGACCATGAACAATTACTGCTCTCTCAAAATGCTGATGCCTGGGATCAGTTTATCAGTTGGCATAGCTTCCAAATCTGCTGAGCTGAACAGATTCAAACCAAAAGATGTCCCCTGCTATAAAACGAGCCTGCGATCAATGTCACACGCTGAAAGAGAAATGTCGACGACCGAGTACAATAATTTCATGCGAGCGGTGTGACCGATTAAATCAAACCTGCAAAACGACGCGGAATCTCGCGAGACCGGGACGAAAACCACGCGACGCAAGAAACCTATCCTACAATCTTCCAGCCTCATTCGTCAGCTCGGTCACCCGCGCAAAGACACTCGACCTATCTTCATCCCAAAACACCCTCTACCTCCCATTCGACAAAGGACTAGCCAGCAACCCAGCCCTATTTCCCGGGCTAGACCAGTGGGAAAGACACTTCTTCAATCTTATGAAAGACATCGTCGCACCACGCCCACTAGACAAATTCCTAATCGGACCGAGCTTCCACGAGTCGAACCACCGTTTCTTCGTCCAGAACTTGCTGCAACCCACCGCCACATCAATATTGAAAGATGCCACAGTCGCCTGTGCCGCAGTGCTCCTCGGAGACCAATATGCGCAGTACACCAAGACAAGCGTAGAAGTCGGGCACCGGCGAGCCGCACTGGCTGTCTCGGGACTGCGGTCGTTGCAGATATCCAAGGAGCAGGATCTTCTTACTGCGCTCGTGCTGGGTGTGGCTATAGTGACGTTCGCTATGCATGTTGCCGATGGCCAGCCAGTTCTTATATCGCAGTATACGCTGACGCTTGTCAAGCCGGTTTATCACACTCTCTTGGCGATGGATCCTGGTGTTATGGATTTGTTGATGTGTTTGGTTAGTACGGAGACTTCTGAATGTCTGCTTCGGTCTGAGATTCCGACTATCCGGGTCGGTGAGCATGATCGGTGCAATGTTGTTGATCGGTATCTTGGGCTTAGCTCGTCGCTTTTTGCTCATTTATATGATATCTGTGAGGCTAGTCATTCGATGAAAGTCACTGGTGGAAGAATGGATATCGAGATGGTCGAACGATTGGACGCGATACAGGATTCACTGGAGCAATGGCAACCCTCACCGCCGCCGGACTTTATTGAAAGATTTACTCAGTCTGAGATTGCTGCAATGCTCGCTCAAGCCAAGGTTCTCCGTCTTGCCGCTTTACTAATTGTACATCGGCTACGCCATCCCTATGGGCAAAGCGACAAGGAAGCATTGCAGCTGTCCAGCGCTATTACGGCGGAGATCGACATGGTCTTGCAATCGTCAGGGCGGTCGATACCATGCACAGCAATTGCCTATATGGTTGCATGCTTTGAGATCACCGGGACTGAAGCGCGAGCAGCAGTCACTGACAAGATCCATGAAGTTGTTACTTTCTCCAAGCAATCGCAGCTTCAAGTCAGGCGCTCCCTGTCCTTAGCATGGGATGCGAGGGATGGCGGGGACCAGATCTACTGGTTCAATATAGGTAATTATGTGCGCAAGACACGTTGCACATAAACAGATGTATAATGTTATAGTCTAGAAATTGTACTACTAGTTCAATATTTGGCCGTGAAGCAGTTGAACGGGCGTGATGAAATCCTCAACAGATTATTTATGTCCCATCATTGAAGCCCATGTTGTCTGAGTCTGCTAGTCATGAATCTCGGGCATTTCAATGAAATGGAAGCTCTTCCCTGAACCGTGAAGAGCCCGGGAATGCATCTCATCCCCAGCGACACGCATTCCTTTGGCATCCACCATATCCCCCGATACTCGACGTGAGTATCAAATTCCTATGCCCTTTCGTTGACTCAGGAGAGCGACGGAAATAATGCATTGCGAGCTAACTGGCATATAGAGCGCCGTTGACGTTGATATCGACAAGTTCCGAACCCGGTTTGGGCGGGATGTCTCTGATTCAGCGAAGAAATCGGTGTATTCTGCTCTTCTTTCGCGAAGACAAAGTCTAATCGACCAGTGGCATTGAAGATCTGGTCGAATAGAGTGGCTAATTGTTGGTAATTGCGCACGTCCGCTTGGTCGAATGTAACATTGGAGAGCGAAACTGCATCTAAAGCATCGCTTCTCTTGATTGGAAGGGTCCATGTCAAATCTGATTACTATCGGAGAAAACAATTAGAAAGGGATATGAATCACTTTGCCGTAGGCCCATAGTGGAGACAGAAGCGAAACATCACGGCATCTAATGATCCCACATGGTTTGGCACCTGGAAAGGGGTGGAGTCTTCCTGAGTCATGGAGGGGAAAGTGATACCTTGCAAATGACTTGCGGTTCTAAAAGGTTGATGCCGTCCTGGATTGTAAGGTTGCAGGTCGGAAGAACCGTGACTGCAAATACTCCGTATATATTCAACACTTCCTTGCAGTTCACTTGAACGTTGTTCCCGGAGAATTCGGGTTATATTCGGAAATTTCTGGTCGAATGGGATCTGTCTTGTAGGTTTGTGTACCTTGTTGCTTGTAGCGTGGACAGCCTGGAAGATGCTAGAGCCAACAACTGGGGTTGATATGGCATGTCAGATCGATCAAGGTACACATACACTTGAAATATTGCAAGTCCATTGTCATAGGCCCCGGGGGACGTTAGAGTTTGCTCCGAACTTTGTCGAGGACATTGGGCGACAGGACGGCAAGGGAGAACATAGACTATGAATCCAAAACTTTGAAGAAGATGTTTGCTCTATAGAGATTCGGGGCAGACGTTGTAATGTCCGATATAGCTAGCCCCTTGCGAAGGTTGGGGGTCTTCAGTGCCGGAGTCAAAAGTGGATGATATTTCCACCGGCCCAATTAAGCTATAAGATATGAAGTATTTGCACAAAACCACAGACAACCTATTGAACAATCCCAATTAAGATTGCATTTGACATTGCATTTATGCATTTCTGTGCGACAGTCCAGGAAAAGCAACTCGATATCGTCGATTGAGGTGCGATCGAAATGCAACGGAAATGCAATACAGTGCAATCCGGCTGCATGAGACGTATATCAAGTTCGTAATGAATGGCAAAGACGCCGTCAAGTGGATCAAATACAAGGGCTAAATTCGACCAGCTCCCACCATATGGGCTGCAATCCGATATGTCTGCTGTCTAATGGACATGTCATATCGGGCCAACCCCAGACCTCAACTGCCGCATTAGACGTGGATCTGCCACAACGGCGATTTTAAAAAGTATTCCATGACCCATATCGTTTCCAATTATTGGATGATCATAGCGTTTTCGGCGAATTTTACTTCCGTTGTGCGTTGTACATATGGAGACAGTTGTGGATTCGAGATGCTCCGTCTATCTATCTATTCCTACTTATTCTCCTAAGGCCGGAAACTCTACCCCGGTTTATCTAGCGTGGTTTCTTCATCGACCTCTTTATTGTTGATCCCTTGCTTGGAATATAGGGATAAGTATCGAATTTTGTTGGTTAATCTTCTGGCGGGCGGACTTGACTGCAAAGCAATCCACACTCATTCTTTGCAGATTTCCAATAGTTATCCAAGCCAAAAGCAATGTGTCAGCACTTGTCATTCTGTTTGACACCACTTATCCACTGAGTGTCCGGGAAAAGTTGTCCTGCAATAAGGTGGATCTCGTAAGTGTCAGATTCAACCTTCGAAATCTGATATATCCACTCTCCCGAGACGATACGTCGGGAAAGGGTGCCTATGCCTCTATATGATTGGTGAAATCTCTAGGGCCGAGGCGCACAATACTTTCTTGCTTTATGATCTGACGGGCCGTTGATTAGCAGCAAGGCAAAACAGTCGCATAATGGAATATGTAATCGTTCGCATTGGACCATGCCTTGGCCGAAATGCCATCTGCACCTAAACCATGCCCTTGTCATCGATGTGATCGGTAAACCTTTCGTATTATCTTTGCGGTATTTTCACCGACCTCGAAAGATATGACAGATCCAGGATACATATGTTGTACATAGATGCGGTCCTTCCCCCTTCCTTCTCCCTTTCTCAACTGCTCGAAGTATATTAAAGACCCGAAACGCGGCCTTAAATGATTCCAAATAATTCAAACCAACAACTTTCTCTCGTTTAATTTTACCTTGTTGGAGTTGATCCACCACACCTGCCTGTGATGTCTTCCCCAGAACATCCCTCCACTCCCACGTGGACGCCAGGAGACTTCGAACACCCGAATCAAGATCTACGCCGGTCGATGATTATTGCGCTGGTGTTTGCGTATACCTTGTCGACTCTCTCCGTTGTTCTGAGAATCCTGGCGAGAAAGGTGACCGGGAGCAAGCTTTTCATGGACGACTATTTGATTATGGTTGCTCTGTTCTTCAAATATGCATGCTCCAGTGGAGTCGTTGTCCGTGAGTGACATCGAAATGCTCCATCAAGTCAACATGATACTAACACCAATTCTAGTCCTGTTCAATGGAATGGGGTCACACATCACAATGATCCCAGCAAAGAATCTCGTGGTTTACTTCCAAGTACGTAACAACCTCAGCCCTATATCAAGTAGACGCATTGACTCGAGATAGCTCGGATTTGCCAACAACTTCATCTACACTGGCTGCATCGCGTTCATTAAATACTCTATTCTGGCGCTGTACAAGCGACTCTTTGCGGTCCGACACATGACAATTGCAGTGAACGTCATGTTTGCATTCGTCACTCTCTGGGTTGTGGGTGTTTACGTTGCCGGTGCTCTTCTGTGCATTCCGGTCAAAAAGTTTTGGGACCCGTCGGTTGAAGGAGCCTGCCTTGACCCAGCCCAATTCTACTATGGCCTGCAGATCCCCAACATTCTCTCCGACCTCATTCTCCTAGTTATGCCTATGAGAGTCGTGTGGACATTACCGATCCCCAAGCCCCAGAAAGTACTCCTTTCTGGAGTTTTCCTCGTCGGTGGCCTGTATGTTTGATATTTCCCATTCGTGCTGCAGTGGAAAAGGAACTAACATTCCTCTCTAGAACCTTGATCTTCGATATCTTCCGCCTGAATGCCATGATTCGACTGGTTGATCTGGGCCCCGATATTACCTGTAAGTATCAACCGTGCTATCACACCCTTCAATCTCCTGATCTATATTCCTAACTACTTCCCTAGACAACCAAGTTCCCGTCATCGTGTGGACCTGTGTCGAAGCAGCGGTTGGAATCACCGCTGCTTGTCTCCCTAACCTCCGCCCTCTTTTCAAGATGGGTCATCGCAACTTCTGGTCTCAACTTAGTTCCTCCAACAATGTATCCGAGATTTCCGAGAGGACACTTGTGAACACAAACAATCCTGGAGGCACTATCATTTCCAATCATAAGGACAATGACTCCTACGTGGTTCAGCAAGCTTTCGAGATGCCTCGGTATGAATACTACAAGGACGAGAAAGCGGTGGAGAGGGTTTAGGTGTGCGGATCGAGGAATGGGAAGGCTCCATACGGATTGCACAGGGTGATGGGAGTCAGGCGAAACAGGAAAACTTTGGCATACTCATTTATATTCTTCTTTGTGATACCTTCATTAACACTATACACGTTTAGTCCTTTTCTTTACATACTTCTATGAGCTTATCTCAAAATATTATACCATTTCTTAATGTCAGAAGACTCTTAGTAGGTCGGTTAGCGCTACTATTACCAAAGTCGAGTTAGTATGTATCCGTGGATATTTCTCCAATCGATATCTCCCGTCTTCTAGCTTAGCGTACAAACAGGACTGACGTGTTCATGGCAAAATAGATAAGGGCCTTCGTCCAACTAATTATGCCACAAAAATAGATACTAGACCAGGCAGCAAGATCCGGATTTTTAGTGTCTTATCAGACAAGCACGTGCTCGCACTGCGCTGAAACTACCTAGGTTGAAATTTCCCTAGCTCCTCACCCAAAATCCCAAGCTCCAGCGCAGAAATGACCTTCCCCGTCCTCACGACTAACGCGGTCGACCTGCAGCAGCTTCTCGAAGAGAACAAGACCACGAGCGCTCAAATTGTGGAAGAGTACTTGGCACAAATCGATCGCTATGAGCCTGCACTTAATGCTCTGATCTCGCCTGCCCCACGGGACAAGGTCCTCGAAATTGCCAAGGCTCGGGATGAGGAGCGCGAGAAAGGGCAAATCCGGGGCCCATTTCATGGAATCCCTATAGTTTTGAAGGACAGCTTTGTCACAGCATCAGAGCTGGGCATGAGCACCACAGCTGGATCATATGCGTTCGTCGGAGCCAAGGCGTCAAAGAACGGAGTTATCACTCAGCGGCTGATTGACGCTGGCTTGATTATCTTGGGAAAGGCTAACATGACTGTCAGTAGACGTTCGGCTTTCTAGTGAACTTGGTTCATTGACCGTTGTTCTAGGAATTCGCCGGCATGAAAATGACCATGATGATGCCCGGTTGGTCTGCTCATGGCGGTCAGACTGTGTCGCCGTATGTCGGGAAGATAGAGGATAATGAGAAGATACTTGGCCACTCGGTGAGTAGACGAAATTACAGATGTTGTCCATTTGTACTGATACTAAGCAGGCTCCTGGGGGCTCGTCCACTGGCTCCGCGGTCGCTGTAGCCGCTGGGTTTAGCCCTCTTGCCATGGCCACTGAGACCATAGGTTCCATCGTGACTCCGTCAACACGCACCGGTCTGTATGCGCTCAAGCCTACTACCGGTGTCCAGGATACGACTGGGTTATACACCATGACGGAGTTTTTCGACAGCCCGGGCCCTATGGCAAAGTCAGCAGCTGATGTTCGCGTTCTTTCTGAAATTCTACTTGGTCGCCTGTTTAACTCCCCCCAATTGGGTTCTTGGGAAGGTCTTTCGGTGGGCTTCCTGGACCCAAAAATTTGGAGTATGTCACCGGACTTTTGTACGCAATTTGAAGGTACAGCAGAGCAAATGGTACGTCACTCTCATTTCATCGAAAAAGTTCAGAGCTGACAGTTTATTCTAGGTAGACGAGTACGAAGAGATGGTTTCCGCTCTACGAAGCGGAGGCTGTTCTCTTAAATACCCAATCCGTTGCAAGGATCCGTCAGTCTTACCGACTACTATATTGCCAATCGCATGTAGGTTATTGCAGGATCAGATGAAGATCGGATGGCTAACAAGTTCTAGACTGGGACTTTAGGAATGTCTGCATCCCTAGATTTATTCACTCGTTTCACGAGTGCTCTGTAACAAGCGTCGCAGATATTGTCAAGTTCAATAAAGAACACAGCGAAAAAGCCCTTCCAGCTCGTAGGTGGACAGAGAGGACACGATCCTACGATCTCGCAGTGAAGAGTTACTAACACAACGCAGCATTCGTCGAGCAAAATGACCTGGAAGGGGCAATGAACACTATTGACAAAAAGGAACAAATAGATGAACTGAAACACGACCTTCGTAGGGCCGCGAGAGATATTCTGGACGACCTATTTGACAAGGAAAAAATCAATATCCTGGCAGCTCCGGGAGACTCCCCGTTATGTATTCATTCTTCCGCCGCAGGTAACAACTCACTTAAGTATAATTTGACTCGCCGTTGCTAATAGGATCAGGATATCCTGTCGCCACGGTCCCGATAGGACAACTTCGTTACAATGACCGACCGTTCGGTCTATGTCTGGTGGCTAGGGCGGACGAGGAGGAGACTCTATTGCGGTTCATGGAAGTGTACGGAAAGGTTGCTAAGCCTCGTCCGGTTCCGAAACTTTGAATGATCGTAGTATAAATTACAAGTGACGATAGTTGGCAAGATGAATGCGAGATCTTTTAATCATACACTTCGAATCTTCTCGTACTCAGGCAAAGCCCATTTGACCATCCACTCACATTCGAGAATCTTCTTCGCAGTAGAGCGGTCCTCAGGCCTGAATTTAAGCATCGACTTCAGCATCTTGAAGATAGCATCCCTCTCGGCGATTTCAATACGCGGCATCCCTTTCCTCTGTCGAGGCTCCTGCATATCTTGTTCGAATCTGGCCTCCCACGACCGGTGAGGGTCCCCATCCCGATTGATCGGCTTGCCATCTTCCATGAATCTACCATGTCGCCCCTCCCACCTGGACCACCATTCCAGGGGCAATATGCCAAGTGCATCAACTTGCTCGCAAGTAATGCTATCTTCGGTCGCAAACATACCGTCAAAGAGCGAGTTCTGATCTATGATGTTCCATAAAGAGCATCCAAGTGACCAGATGTCTGATGGGAAGGATAGAAGCTTATGTGGTTCGAACCGAGCCTCTGGTGGTCGGCCCACAAGCGGAGTGTGAGACTCGAATCTCTGTTGCTTTGTTGGGGAGAAGGCCTCATCGAAATCGCTGAGTAGGGTTTTGGCTTCTGGGGGTTTGATTTTATCACTTGCTTCGCCAAGCCACATTGGCAAAACGGCGCGTGACGGGATATTCCGCGGGAGTGGTTGTCCATCGAAACGTCTGATTGCTTCAAATTCCGGCTCCCCGTATTTTCTGTACAACTCCTCCACGGAGAGTTGGCTTAGGTCGAATGTCAACTGGAGGAGAACATTTTCATAATGAAGATCTCCGTGAACGAATCCATGGGAATGGACGTACTCAACGGCACGAACCAGCTGCACGAACCAGCTGCGCTGCCAAGGCCCGAGCAACCTCTATTTGGTGAAGGCGGTTGTATGAGGCATCTTTTGCCTCGGAGAGACTCATGCGTACCATTCGGTCCTTGGATCTCGCATCTATCTATTACCGAAGGTATCATGGTCTTTCCTAAGCTGGTGCTTGAGTTTTGTTGCGAATTGGAAAGTTCCGAAAGGACGCTGAATTCAAGCGGGTTCGAATCTGCGGTACACACTTTGATGGCGACGAATCTAGCGTTTCAATAATGCCTTCTTCGATGGCGATTTTTCTAGCCTCTAATAATGCATTCTGGTACTCCTTAAAGGTCATTTTCTGATCAAGAGCCGATTCAAGGTATCTTCCGGATCTGACTGATATCCATTTTTTGTCCTCGCTTCCACGTAATACACTTAACTTCAACGAGTCAAACTAGATTTCTCGTAAATTCCCTTCTTATAGAGCCTAGCTATAAGGTCACAAATAGTTATCAATACGTTATTTCAGATTTTAATAGTTAGTTAACGTAATCGGTAAACGAGCTACACACTAAACCTAACCTATAAAATTTAAATACATTTATTTTAACTAAAACGAAATTAGTTTAATTTAACTAACTCGTCTATTAGTACATGCCGTTCTTCTAGGACCTTTATTTCTATATAAACCGCACCTCGGTACCTTATATAGGGCTATAAAAGCCCCGACATTTATTTATAAACCTCTATTTAACGTTGTGATGGTTAGCAGGTGGCCTAAAACGGTAGCACTTGATGCCGTTTTGTGAGCAGTGTTAACCAGCGACCGTCTTGGCACCGTGCACAGCAAACCCCACGGCCGTCTCCTTTTAACTCCACGAACTACCCTGGTTTGCTGTCAGCGGTCTCAGTGGTTTTGTTTTTCTAGCTCCAACCCATCCCTTTGCAATCTTTGATCTCAGCTCTTTTTACCTATTCCACCTCGTCTATAAAGGGACTATTTAGTTCGCGGCCTCTACTTGTTACTCTAATTTTTCTATCGCTTCTTGGTTTTCGTGGACTATCTAAACTATAGCGCCTCATTCTTAACCCGTTAAGCATAATAAGGACGAGAGTGAGAGTAGTTCCAACGTGAGCGAGAACTTTTTCGGATAACGGATTTAAAAGTGAATCTAATAGCGACCCGGAACTCGATAGTGAGACCTTAGACGATAAGGCGGGTAAAGGGGATGATACCTTTAATAACGAGGGTCAGCTTCCTCTAGACTACTACTTAGCCGAAGTAAACGGCCTAGATATCTTTCAACTTCGATAGAAGCGTTATAGTGATAGCACCTAGGAAAAGCTAGATAAGACCTATATATACTAGAATAGGTAACCGTCCTAACTCCCTATCTTTCTTAAAAGCTAATTAGTGGCTTTCTAGTAGGTATTATCGATATCTTAGCGTTAACCTAGTATAGCACTATGTAACGGATAAAGATCCTTACAAAGAGAATACCATGTCAGGCAGTCTTGGCAGATCGACCCCACGTCGTGGCCGATCCGAGAGAGGTTCATCACATGATATACATGTCGACATTGGAGAGATAGATCCCTCATAGTCTGGGACCCCCCAGGGTCCCTCAAAGAGACTGGCAAGAATTAGTCTTGGCACTCCAGACAATACATTGTGTTCTCCTCCAAGCCATAGTATCTTACCCGGTTGACAGGCCATACACCTGGAA